TGAGTCAACATTAGGGATGTGAAAGCAACTAGGAAGGTTACAGATCAGTACATTTAACTAGAGACAAATCCTTGTAAACAATCTGGGGAAGGGCAATTTCTGTGCCTTGTCAAATGGCTTATAAAACACAGGGCATAAAAGCTAATCATCTCTCTCCTGTGATGTTCCCACAGCTGAGGTACAAATGGGTCTTACAGTGAAAATGTCAGCGTGAAAATCCTCCATGTTTTCAATGCACTTCATTTTTTAATATTCAATTCATGTCGATAGCAAAAGTAGAATAAAATCAAGGTTAACTACCCTGGCTTTCAGGGCAAAATTATGCTTTTATTGCAGGCACCTGACTAATGCATATTTTAAAACAATCTAAGAGTCTTGTATATCCCCTGTCTTCGTTCTGTTGGAATTAAGAACTGCAGCAAATGTATGTGCGTGTGCACACGGACACTGAGCTAGAATATTTGCATATGTAATCTTTCCATGTTATAGATGGGTATTTTTGCTTTACGATGTATTCGCTTAACGGCAATTTTTCTGGAACGGATTATCGTCATTAAGCAAGGCACCACTGTATATCAATCTATTTAGCTGCCCTTTTCAGCAGTCTCCCCAACTTAAAAAGTTGGTTAAATTCCATAGTTTATGCATGGCCCAATTAATTAATCATCCTTGAATTGGTTTCCAAGTGTGATAGAAATACAGAGCTCATATGAAATGCACTTGAAATCTATACAGGCTGAACTCAGTCCTTTTTCTCGTTGGGATGGTGAGCCAGGAGAAATTTATGAAAACCCCAACCTCTATTGAACTGCAGAGATCAGCTTCTGGTAAATTTCACATTGCTGCCAGTTCAGTTGACACAGCGGTCCCGAGCTGTGCTGCAGGAACCTGAACCAGCGGAATCTCAGAAATGAATCTCCTGGGGGAAGCAAGCGTCTCAGTTGTGGATGTATCATATGTGGCATTGAGACATAACAAGAGAGAGGAGGACTCCAGGCTAGAGATGCTTTAACGTCCTGCATTCACTTCCTTGATATCTGTTATGGCAGTGATGCAAGTAAGCTTGTGAGTCTGGATAGAGTCGACCCAGCATCGTTCCTAGGAAAGTCCTCATTCATGTGGATAGTGTCTGGGCTGCCCAGCCATGGAGTTTTTCTCTGCTGTAAACTAGGCAGTGATGGCGAACCTATGGCACGCATGCCACATCTGGCAAGTGAAGCCCTTCTGGCACACGAGTGAGTGGCTCACCCACCCACCCTTGTGGAAATGAACCTTTTGAAGTGGCTGCAGCTGGGATTCCCCCTTTCTCTTTCTGTTCTGGGTCCTTTAACTTCCTGTCCATCCCCATGATTCCCCCTGAAATGGCCACTTCCTGTTCTGGTTCTGGTCTTCCGGGCGGCCCAGCAGCCACTGATTTCTTCCCCACCCCCTCATTTTGGGCCCTCGAGCCGAAAAAGGTTTGCCTCCACTGAACTAGGGCATGGAAAGGTTACTCTATTGTTGTTGTTACTGATGTTGTGGTTGCCGGAATCTCCCAGCCTGCAGTGTCACTAAAAAGTTAATGTTCATATATTCCCTTACTTTTATTTATTACAATCATAACCAATCAACCCATAATTAATTAGATTTTTGGCCTGCTATCACAGTGTGGCACAAGCAGGTTATGACCAGGGCAGGGGAGTGTCCCACCCCCAAATTTTAATAAGACCACCATGGTGTAATAAATGCTCTGTGGAGTGATAGTGACCAACATGAAGTAGACTAAGCCAAATAATACCTTACAGGTAACCTGTCCTTTGAACTGAAATCACTCATCTTCATCCCAAGATGTGACTGAGACAGAGTGTTGGGTCAGAGAAGTTAGGCTTATGAAAGGAGAACATAGCAGTCTAAAGACAAATAGCAAAAAAACTGGCTGATTTGCAATCTCTGGGAGGAAAGAAAAACTCATATTGTGACAACCATACGCAATCCTCACTTAAGGAATGTTATCTTCTAGTGTTTAAACTGAAATCCAGTTGTAACTAGTGTAGGCCCATTGAATCAGTGAAATTTATAGAAAAGTTGACTCACAAAATCCTCACTGATTCAACGAATCTAGTTGCATTTACTACTGGATTTCAGCCAAGGTTTGGCTCTGAAAATGATACTTTTCCTTTGGTCCAGATTAACTGGTAACACTTGCACTGTTCAGATCTACAGTTGACAGAACCAAAGTAAAGTAGAAGAAGCTTGACTTATATATAAGCCTTTTATGTAGATTCATTTAGACAATGAAATAGCTCTGAGACGACGCTCCAGGAGGAAACGGACCAGCTAAACTCCCGAGCAAGGACATGTCAATTCAGGTTTTTATTGAAATTCCCCTTGACTGACTTTCTCATCATTGTGAACACTCAATCAATTTAGTGTGTACCCATATGCTCTCAGACATAACTTGGAAAAACAACCTTGAACTCTTAGATGAAATAGGGCTTTGAGAGAATGTTTCATAAGATAAAACAGAATTGAAAAATAAAACGCAACTTCAGCTATTCAGTATCTGGAAAGCATCTTTTAAAGGATATACTGGTAAACTCAGTCATTAAATATGTGCAGTAAAGTCTTCTCCCTCTGCTTTGTACCTGTTGTAGCACAACATGTACAAAGTTTTGTGCATGTTGTACTACAACAGTACATTTTGTACATTTTGCAGTACAAAAATATAATGTGCCCACTGTTAGAATTTTGCAAGTCCTGCTTAGATTCTAGGGGAGGGGAATTTGTAAGGAAAATACCTTAGTTCACGTAAAAGCATCTTGTGAGGATGACCATTCAGTGTTGGCAAAGGTAGCAGTTTGTAAACCATTTAGCATAAAAACGTCCCTTTTTTAAAAAGAAAGATTTGAAAAATTAAACTATTCATTTCTTGTGGGTAGTACAAATACTTATTGGTTCATAAGTAATATTTTCTTTCCTCACATAGATGGTTATTTTTTTTTATTTTGGGGGATATTACAGATCTGGTAAACCAATTTACTCTTTATGAGCAAAATAGAACTAGATATTTGAACACAGATTTAAAGGAGTGGTTGGTGTGTTTTAGAAAGATGATGTACCCCTTTATTCCGTGCTCTCATTGATTTTTTACCTCAGCATAATAGTAGATTCTTCTGACTTATTTGTAACTTCCCTATTTTTCCTTTAATAAACAGAAAAGAAAAACTTTTTTCTTAACTCAAATGGTTGATGGCCATTTGAGTTAAAATGATAAGGAGGAATTGGCTGGTTTCATTTATTTATTTATTTATTTATTTATTTATTTATTTATTTATTTATTTATTTATTTATTTATTTATTTAATATCCCGTCTATCTGGTCGGGCGAGGACCACCCACTTTCATGTTTCATGGGGAGCTACTTTTAAAATAGGTCAATTGAAAGACAACCCATCCATATTCAACCAGATCTTCATTCATCACCATTACTCAATAGTCACTATTCATTCCCATTCTTATACCCCCAACCATATGGTGGACAATTTCAGACAGAATTATGGATCAAGCCCATATAGGATTTTAATATTTTTGAAGAATGCAACAAGCTTGACTCCCAGCCCTTCTAACACTTCTCCAATGTTTCATTAGAAAAAATTTTGGGCTAAATTCATTGTCAATCCCAGTTAGAGTAAACCTATTGAAATGAATGGGGCTTGTAAATTCCCACTTAACATATGTATTACTGAATTAAGTGACTGCAGTGGGTGGGAGTAATGCTAAATCTCACCTCTTGAGTATGAGAATTTCAATGAAATTCAAAGGCCAAAGATTATTATTTTAGTTTGTTGTTAAGAAATCGAAACAAGACAGGAAGACAAAATGAAGCAATTCTTTCACACTTGAAGAATTTTTCTACTCAGTGGCTCAAATCCTCTTACATAGTTATGGTGGTGTAGTACAAATGGTATAACTTTGGGAGGTGAATTACTCCATGTTAAGAAATTACTGCAGATATTATACGTTGTTACTTACAGTTGTAAGACTTAACATGAAACTAATAATATCTATGATTGTTTCTTTATCTGGGGCAATATGCATACATCATTTGAGTAGCTGTGCAAGATGATTTGGCCCATTGTATTTTTAATGTGCAGTGCAAGTTATTAACCAATTTGCATGTTTGATTTATTGCCACTGATACCATTGATTATGGTTGCCACATGTTCTAGATCTGCCTACTCCAAGTAAGAAATGAATGATGGTGGAAGCAAGAAGAAATAAGAAATAGAAGCGGTGGATTAGAGAAACAGGTTGTGCAAGGAAGGTGGAAGTAGTACATGGATTGTGGCAAGAAATAGCTTAGTAGCAGAGATATACTTTGAACTGAGTGGAGGTTGCAAGTTCAGTACTGTACCTGAAACTCCTGGTAAAGCTGGAAAATATTAAAATGCAGCTATTATCTCTGAAGATCTCACCTGGTGTATAAGGCAAATTCTTCTTTCGTTACTAGGTTTTTACAGATTGCTAAACACAGAACTGCTTTGCAAAGACATGTTAGGTTCACATATTATATTCTGTGCCTTCTTCCCTCTTTGTAAATAAAAGCATATGCAAAAGCATATGTGTATTTCTCTGTGAGTTTTATGATGCTAAATGTGTTATCAAATATGAAGACCTTGGGGGAGCCTTTGAAAACTGCTTCTACAACCGTAGGAAAAAGAAATCATGAGCTTTGGGAGGAATTAACCCAAGCTTCTTTAAACTTGCCCTTCATGTAGTTTTGCTTCCCACCACCACCAACAACAACAGAAAACTGTAGATAATCTAGGATTCCTTTGAACGCCTTGGAGTTGTGAGCTGGTAGTCTTGGAAAGTGAGTGGCATGCACAGACCAGCCCAAAAATGTTGTTAAAATTTTGATTAAATATTGTCCAACTATGACTTAAAGTCACTTTAATGGTTTTTGGTGTCAAATAATGGTAATACAATTATAAAATGTTCCTTTTTCTTCCTTCCCACCAGGAAATGATTTGTTTTTAGTTGCAGTTCATGAACTGGGACATGCCCTAGGCTTGGAGCATTCCAATGACCCTACTGCCATCATGGCTCCTTTTTACCAGTACATGGAAACCGACAACTTCAAACTACCTAATGATGATTTACAGGGGATCCAAAAGATATATGGTATGCTATTTTAAATATATCTATTTTATCTGTCTAATGAAAAGACAATTCAGTGTAGAGTTCCCTTGACACTCTCTGGAGGCATACTTGTTCCGTCTGGGCTATTTTATTATTTGTTGTTTTTGTTTTAAGGAAGGGATTCCAAAGGCTTTCTGGGGCTGCACAAAACCTCCCCTTCCACAGAAGTGCTCCAAAGACCACTGAATGACAGCCTGTGCACTGAAGGTTGCACGTGTCCTTGTGCATGTATAAATTTGCTTGTTCCAGGAAAAGAAAAGGAAAAAAAACCACTCCACCCCCAAAACACTGCATGTGTAGATGCTTTGAAGAGGACAATTTGGTTTAACGTGTGGAGTGTGAAACTGTGACTCAAGAGACCTGAGTTCAGATCTCTGCTCAGCTGTGAAAACACATGCCAAGTGACAAAGATGAACCATTCCTTGTAGTTACATACTGAAATTGTCACAAGACACATGACTGCAACGTATAGCTGCATCTGTAGTTTCCTTTCTGCATTTGGTAATTTTAGTAGAACAGTGATCATTGATTTTTTACAGTGACTAGGCCAAGGACTCTCATATTTGACCAAATGCTTCTCTTAAATTAATTGAAATTAAGATTGAATAGGAACAATGGTTCTCTTCCCTTTTTCTTTGTCTCTCCTCCTCTTCCTTCTTCTGTCCTATTACCTGTGTCTGATTCATTCATGTTTTAGGGAGTTGCTTTATATTGAGGCAAGTGCAGTCGTCTTTCTGGCAACTTTCCAGATCTTCTCTGCTTCCTTTCCATTATACTGCTTTAATAAATAGCTTGCTTCTGACCTACACTTATGCAAGAGCCCTACACACACATGCCTTGATCTCTCTCACCTCTTAGTAGATGCTAGCAGTACCAGATAAATCTAAGTAGAATATGATATTTGCTCTGAGCTGATACCACTATATCAGTACACCTACAAACCGTACAAAATCCTTTGCATATGGAAGCCTTTGAATTTAGCCCAAAAGATTCAGACTTTCCTTAATGTTTAGATCATGTGCAGAGCTGTGATTAGCAGCTTCGGCATCCAGGGCTTCACTACTCTGTAGATTATGCTTAGGAAACATGAGACAGATGTATGTGGGAAAAGGACAGAGGAATGGAAGGGAATGCATGGATCTGTCTGCGTATGTGACAGCCATATTGGTTCCATGTTGAACCCTGTGTTTCTTTCTGGCTGGGTAGGAGCAATTGGAGGCTGTATACATCTTTGGGCAGGCAGGTTTGTGCTCCAAGATCATCTAAGATGAGTCATATCCATTTCTGTTTGCCTTTTCTTCTTAAGATTTTTTTTTAATTTCCGCTATTCTGCAGATCATTGAATTATAATGTTTTCAAGTTTGATCTAAACATAGAACTGTTTAAATTCCATGTTTAACCTTGAATTTAAGCAGACTTTTATTTGCACACTGGAGACTACCATTCCTTCTTGCTTATCGTTCCTTTGGGTTCTTTTTTCTTCTGTTTTTCTTTGTATTTAGTTTACAAGCTGCTTGGGCAAGGATGCAGTGCTTCTTACTATTTTCACGGCCACACTTGTGTTTCCTTTATTTGTTGATATAATGGATGCACAGAGTGTTGGCAATCAAGGGCGCTGATACGAGATAACATAGTAAGCCAGTTGCAGCTCTGTTGCATATTGCAAGTGTTATCTCACCCAGGCTGCTCTACAGAGGAAATTAAACAGTTGGGTTCATCCTGTGTGGTTAGGAAGGAGGTGTTTCTCATGACCTCATAAGTTGGTAGTCTAGACAGAAGGGCTAGACAAGATTGTTTTGCCTTTATACTAAATACTAGTTTCTAGCAGCTGTAAGCTTGACTTTGATGAGTTTTATTGCCCTTGGGAAGCTAGGCATGACATCACTAGCAAACAGCATGTGAAAAATTTTTTGTTTGGATTTAGCATTTTTTAACCAGATATCATCTGCTGTTGGAAATTTTTGGGTGGAACATTCCTCAGGTGGAGAGGTTTTATAGGCTTTCACCCCCCAGTAACTATAAATTGTAGATGTCACTTTAAACAACAATTGTGAACTAAAAGCACTTGTTACTATTTTTTGTAGATAAGTGTTCAGTCTGTCAACATACTGTACCTCGTTAGTCTAAGCTAATGTGATTAAGTTTACCATTCAAAAATGTTCATTGTGTACAGAAAACTAGCGGACACAATGCCATTTGGAAGTCAAAGTGACCTTTGCATGTTTAATACAGTGGTCTGTGAAAGAGCTTGTAAGTGCATTCATCATGACTGGGAATTCTGCTTTTTCAGGACTCTTGAGAAACATTATAAGAGTATTCAGATAATGATGCTTACAGGCTGTATTGCATATCTTTGTATTAAAACTGTGTAGATCTTCATGACATCAGAATGGAGTGGATACACAAAGCATAGGATTTATGTCCATCCCCACATCCTCATCCATCAGTTCAGATGAATTGTCTAAATATGGCTTAGATGTCGAGAAGAAGACTTCTTGCATAGCTCGCTGTGTGACATTGTAAATAACTCTCACTATATATCGCAAAATATATGGCTCTCCTTCTTACCGGGTGGTTTCAGAAACAGTTATCAGGACTATGGTACCAGGTATGCTCTTAGAGCACACACACACAAATTCATGCATGTTTGAAGACACACCCATGAAAGATATCTGATAGTGCGTCTTGACACAGATTGGACTGAGTAAATCATACACTCACAGAGCTAGTAAGAAGGGGAATTTTTACTGAATAATTAAAACATGGCACAGATTCACAATGAATTACCGTATTTTTCGCACCATAAGATGCACTTTTTCCCCACAAAACAGGGGGGTGGAAAGTCTATGCATCTTATGGAGCGAAGAAAACAGATTATATTTTCCTGTTTTCTTCTCCTAAAAAATTTGTGCGTCTTATGGAAAGGTTCGTCTTATGGAGCGAAAAATACGGGTATATCACCAAAAGGGGAGAATGAAGGCTCAAAAGAAGCAAACCCATATGGCTAAAAGGGCACAAAGGAAGGATCTTTCTTTAAATATCTCTCTCTCTCTCTCTCTCTCTCACACACACACACACACACACACACACACACACACACACACACACAAAATATGTTTGTCCTGTGTGTCTGCATTTCTCCACTTCTCTTTTTTCTGTGATGTAACAGCTTCTTCTCACATTATCTCTCTATGTGGATGCTGGTGTGCATGCACATGCATGTTTAAGTAAAGCAAGTTTATTTGTGTATAGCTGTAGCTATTACAAAAGAAGTTTGAATAGGATAAAATATCAAATATAGCATACAAATAAAACCATCTAAACACAACATTATCACGTGAAACAGTTCAATCCTCAGTTAAAACATGATCATTATAACCACAGAACTTCCTCTAAAAGCAAAGCCGGTTGCCTTTTCCATATTACAAAAGAAGTTTGAATAGGATAAAATATCAAATATAGTACTGTATATAAATAAAACCATCTAAACACAACATTATCACGTGAAACAGTTCAATCCTCAGTTAAAACATGATCATTATAATCACAGATAAATAGTGGGTTAGATCTTCAAATGCATTAATCCCACATGGGCAAACTCTTTCCTCCAAGGGAATCGGTGGGAATGTCCTTCAACCACTGCAGAACTCATAGACTGGCAATATAACACTGTAAAAGTGTTTCTCCATTTAAAATGTGCTATATTAGTTAAATACTCTGGGTGAGGTGTTTGAATAGGTAACTTAGCATACCAGGGTGCACATTTTGACAGACAGGCAGAAATAGCATATCTGTGATATAACTTTGGCCTCGTAGATTTTTAAGAGCAGGTGGGAACTGCCTGCTACCTCTGTCCCAATAAAACCTTAATAGTGAGTTAATAGTGTTGGTGGCAGTTTTATTGCTATTCTGTATGTGGTTTTTCCAGGAGCCAGTTGAGGAGAAGTTTAGTCCTTAATATTTAAAGGACTTCACTTACTCTGTAGGGTGGCCATCAATCAGCCATACATGATTTTTAAATCTATTGGCAAATACTAGTATTTTAGTTTTTCCATAATTAATTTTCAGTTTTTCTTGTGCTGCTAGTTGATTAAAAGCTTTCAGCAGCCTCCTAACCCCTTGTTGTATCTGTGATAATAAAATAGTGTCATTAGCATACATAAGTACTGTTAATTTTCTGGATAACAGTTTGGGAGGTACATAGTTATCATTGTTGCTCAACTCAGTAATTAATGAGTTGACGTAAATATTAAACAGAGCTGGAGCTAACAAACATCCTTGACGGACACCTCGTGTAGTTGATATTATACCTGATAACAAACCTGAAGTACCCATCCTGACCTGAATCTTAGTATCAGAATGTAGCTTTTGGATCAACATCAACCATCTTTTGTCTATAGAGGTTTTGCTTAATTTACGCCAGAGACGATCTTGGCTTATAGAATCAAAAGCTTCTGTGAAATCAATAAATGCTACATATAGACACTTGTGTTTTAGTTTTACATACTTATATAATAAGTGAGACAAAACAAAGCAGTGATCTGTTGTTAAGTGATTACATTGAAAGCCTGCCTGCTTTTCTGCAATCATGTCACTAGACTCAAGCCAAGAATTTAAAAATTTTGCCAGATATTTAGTATATATTTTTGATGATGTGGATGTCATCAGCCGGGTAGGTGGGGCTCGTCAGCCATGGAAGGCAGCCCATCTAGGAAAAGGAAAACTCCAATTTCAAACCTCCACCGCCTTGTGGCTATGTCCATTCATGGAAAAGGCTTCAGGAGTTAACCTAGAGGCAAAATCCGGAGCTGGAGTCCCGGAGGCAGTTCGTGTCGTTCTGCCAACTCCTGCAACGTTGCCGGAACCAGTCGTATTGGCTCTTGCCTTTCCATTGGACCATTTCAGCAACGTGGAGAGGGGGGATCGGCTGCTTGGGTAACAGCCTATCCTCCATATTACCTTACTCAGGCTTCATGCTCTGGAGGGGACACTCCTCAATTCAGAGCATGTCACCATAGTCTTTCGAGACGGAGGTATGCCTATGATGGATGTCATCATCAAAATGATGAAAAATTGGCTGGATTGCTTGGTTCACCTTTTTTGTGCATAGGGACCACTATAGTGATGTTCCATTGTGGGGGGGAAACAACCACTCTCATTAATTTCTGTAAATAAAGCTGAAAGGATAGAAGCCCAACAGTTTGGTGCTGCTTTGTAGACTTCACCCACAACCTTCATGCCTGTGTAGTGCCAGGTTAAGATAGCCTAAGATCATAAGCCAGGGATTCCCATATTGTGTGTCATGGTTCCAAGTGGCACCATGAAACCCAGACAGAGGTGCCATGGGAAAATAGAGCTATGGAACATAGAGCTATGAAAGGAATAGAGGAGCTGTTCATTACTCTATAAACAGTTCCTCTATCACATTCATAGATCTGTGTCTAACCGGAACAGGATGTGAAGACTGTGTGCCTGCTTCTCCTGTCCAAATCTTTATGGTCCCCAGTGGAAGTACTCGCTGGGTAGCCTCAGGAGTTTCTTGTGTCAGAATCTAGAAGGGGGTGGGCTTTTGGGAATATGGAGGGAGAGAGAGGAGACGGGATGACTGAGAGGGAGGTGAAAGTCCTGCTCCTGGTGGTACTGAGAGTCCTGATGGCCCCTCCAAGCAAGAGGAGCTATGGCCAATGGTCAGAAAATGAGAGCTTGTGAGGCCAAAAATATTTGGAACTTCCGTCATAAGCTATGTCAGAGCTAAGAGACAGCACAGCAGGACCCAAAATTGTAACAATTAAGTGAAACATGAAATATAAGGATTGGGCTTGTTTTTACTGTATTTAAGTGTTCTGAGCTATAGATTACTTAGCTGACATTTAAAGCTGATGCTGGATATAAATGTATATATGTGTACACATAAATACATGCATGTCAGTGTTTCTAACAGTAACCTGGCATTTGCTTCCAGAAAACAAAAAAACAGGAAGTAAAGAAAATGTTTCACCCTTGTAGCTGCCAGTGCAGAACCTTCAGTTTATTTGGCTAACACATTTAAAAGTCACTGATACACCTGTCCTCCATGAACCTATAAATAGTGTTTAAAACCATTAAGCCAAGGCTGGTCATGATACAGATCAGTATCTGCTGCAGAGCCTGGAAATCTGCTTTCAAGAAGAATGGATATAATGACATGCTGTGAAGTCATCCCTAACTGATGAGCAGTAGGAAGCGCCTCAGAGGCCAGGATATCATTCTGCGAGATTTAAATCTTCACTTATTTCATTTTTACAGTGAGAGCAACATTTCCACATTCCTCCCTGACAAGTGTGATTACAATGGGTTTTGCACCCTTTTTCCATTTTGGAATGTTTCTAAAAAACATTATGGAAGTGTTTTTTTTTTTCACAGAAAGCAACATTAATAAAGGAAATGGGTTGTATTTTGCACAAAACACAAGGTTTTAATCCACAATGCAAGATATTTTTTGCTGTTGATGAGGAAAGACGCTTGCCTTGCTCAAAATCTCCCAGTAGTTGCCAGTGTTTTCATTGGAGCAATAGCTACATCCTCAATCATCCTACCACTACTCAGCTGCGCATAGCTTCAGCATGTCTTTATAGTCATTGTTCTTAAAAGTAACTTTCCAGGCTCTGAACTAAGAGGTCTCTGAGTGATTTGCATTAAATTAGCAAAGGATTCTGATCCCGATATCACCACAACCATCACCAGTAAAAAAATAAAAATAAAAAAATAAAAGGAAAACAAACAAACAAAACAACAACAACTTCGGAATTCAGATGTGGAACTGGAAGGAAGCTTGGGTGAACCAAGATTTGATCTGTCTGCCTGCCTGTCTTTCTCAAGGACTGGGAGCTCAGTTCCTGTACTGAAAAGTAAATTCTTGGTCTGAACTTTTTGCCTCAGAAGCATCCTTGTTCCTTAATTCCTTAAAGAATATGTGGCTCACCACCACTAGCCATTTTGCAGAGGGCCCCAACTGGCAAACAAAAATTGGTGTATTCCATAGTCTGATGTTTGCCTTTTCACAAGCTAAGTGTAATTGAATTGTGTTTTCTATGAGTTACATTTTTCCCCATTCTCAGTTTTCTTCCCTTCTGTTTCATTTGGGCCCACATTTCAGTGCTTTGGCTGAGAGAGAGAAAAATATCTCTACATAGAATTCTCCATGGTTCCTCTATAGCACACATCATTTCATGAAGTTCCATAATAGTACCATATTCCTGTCCACTCCCACAGGCACAATTAGTGTGTCAGTCAGTCAGTCATACTAAGAATGTCTGAAAAGGTCACATTAAAATATAAGAGTCTTTAAGGTGCTACAATGGTTTTATCTTCTTTATTGTTTTATTTTTCTTTGTGTTTTCCTGATATAATTAAATAACTTAAAAATATGATAAATTACAGTATTTCATAAACAACTAAACATACTACATGTTTTAACTGCAAAGTAAAATCCATTTTAAAAGTACATTTGAAAAACTAAAAAGATATTAGTTCTTCCATTAAAAGCCCTTCCTTAGCAGCTAATTACTTATAATTATACATAAATCTACATATTTAGAATGTTAAAAAGCAAATGGAGGACACTGGAGATTTTGGCAGCCACTAGGTAAGGTAAAGGTAAAGGTTCCCCTTGACAATTTTTGTCCAGTCGTGTCCGACTCTAGGGGGCGGCGCTCATCCCGCTCTTCAAGCCATAGAGCCAGCGTTTGTCCGAAGACAATCTTTCCGTGGTCACATGGCCAGTGTGATTTAGACACGGAACGCTGTTTACCTTCCCACCGAGATGGTACCTATTTATCTACTCGCAATTGCATGCTTTCGAACCGCTAGGTTGGCGGGAGCTGGGGCAAGCAACAGGCGCTCACTCCGTCGCGTGGATTCGATCTTATGACTGCTTGGTCTTCTGACCCTGCAGCACAGGCTTCTGCGGTTTAGCCCACAGCGCCACCACAGCCACTAGAGGTGGGAAAATCATAGATCCTAGATTTTTCCTCGGTATTTGACAAATATGGCACACAGCGTTGTGAACCGGAGCAAAATTCAACCAGAGAAACAACATTGTTCCAGGAATTTCCTCTGGGGGATGTAAGGATGTGTGATGAGCTTCCAGATGGAAAACAATAGAAAGGACACAATAGGAAGGGAGAAAGCAGGCTCTCCGAACAGTGTCACATAAGCTGAGATAGATCTGCCCCAAGGATTTCACTTACAGTCATCAGACACAACAGTGTCATTGAATGTATGCCTGCAAGGAGCTTTTAAGCAAAACTTATTTATTTGTATGAAATGTGAAAATTTGGATAATATAATTCTTTGATAGAAGACAAAACAAATGATTAAAAAATTAGATACAAGGAATTTTTATATATGAGTTGCTACAAGAGACTCTTTATTTTGTCTCCATATTCAGAAACATCTGCTGTTTCATATGACTTACCAAAGTCCTTTGGTTCTCTTATTTAATATTTTATTGTAAGCCATCCATGCAGTTTTGTTAAAGAATGACACAAAACTACTTTAAATGAATGAGTACATTCTAGTTTCCTTATAATTTCATCATTTCATCCCTCACTTCCATTCCATTTTCTGGTTTTCTTGGCCAGAGTTTGCTTTATATAGCTAGCACACTTTTACAGATGTTTCCTAATAAAAGTGGTGGCAAGTCATAAGGGTAACTTGGCTTCTTTTAAACTGAAACCATAAAATAACTAGAGCTACTGGCGACTTAACAGCAGATCAGAATTGTAAAAATTCAGTATCCCAAATTTGCACATGTTGCCTCTTTGAAATTATTTTAAAAATTTGATTAGTCATAATTAATCCAGTCTGAGTTGTGTGATATTGAAGCTAACAATTGATTGCAGTTTAACAGTTTCACAGCTGGTAAAAAAAAACAAAATACATTGGCATCAGCATTTTTTAATTATTATTATTATTTTTGTGCAGGCCACAGTGAATTAAGACTTATTTCTGCAATCAAGAAGTCTAGTCAATTATTTTTAGAAAGACCAAGAAAGCCAGAAAATGTTGTTGGGCTGTAGCTTTAATCAACTAATCTGCATGATTAATTAAGTTAAGCTTTAACTATAAATTAATGTTTGAGCATCTCCATTCCAGTACTTAAACACCTTTTAAGCATTTTTGGGACCCACACCAGTGGCTTTAACCTAGCAGCTTAGCAATGGAAAATTGTCCTTTTGATGCATATTATTTTGCTGCTGTTACACAATTTAGATTACAGTCACATAACCTAAATGCTGCACAGTCTCCTATACATTAATTTATTGGCATATTGTTGTTTGTCACAGGTCCACCTGACAAAATCTCACCACCAACAAAACCTCTGCCAACAGTGCCCCCTCATCGCTCTGTCCCTGCAGTAGACCCACAGAAGAATGACAAACCTAAGCCTCCCCGGCCACCAACGGGAGACAAGCCTTCCTACCCTGGAGCCAAACCCAACATCTGCGATGGAAATTTTAACACTCTAGCCATTCTTCGCAGGGAAATGTTTGTTTTCAAGGTAGGAGACTGCTATTTTTATTGTTAGATCAAGAGGCTACATCTCTGCTTTTTCAGAAACCGGTTCTCAGCCATCATGCCTCTATTGAGCTTTCTCGCTGCTTTAAAGTTCAAGAAAGAAACTAGAAAATAAACATCTGAACGGCTTAAATGACTAAAAAGGAGAGTCTAGAGACTTCTATTTTGGGAATAAATTAATGTCAGAAAGTTGCAGTGCTTCAAAAATTTAACAGTAAGTAAATGCTGGATGTGTTGCAGAGATAAAAGGGCATAATTCAAGTCATGAATAGAAGCTAATAAGGATGATTTTGTTGGGAACTTAGCCACTTCCAGGCTCATTGCTGTTATTGTGTTTTCTTTATAAGGACCCTGTAATTTAACTTTATAATTAGATCAGTCCTTTTATGTAGGGCATTTGTCATCATGCAGTGGTTGCCTTGATACATTTTTGAGAGGAGACGGCTTGTGTTATAAGAGTCCCTTTGCAGGTGTTGAGGGCTTTTTGTTGTTGCTGTTGTTTGCTTGGTTCAGTCATCGTTTTGTTAGGATATGCATCTGTACTGCACACATCATGCAGACTACAATGTCTTCTCCCAACCCTACCCCCTCCTCCTTGGCGGGAGGACTTCAGAAGAAGCTGATGACCAAAAACATCAAAGCAATTCTATTTAATGAAATGGAATAGTAATCTGGTACATCATTTTGTATGCTTTCCAAAATGTGTTATAACAGTGTCTTCAGTGAATATTTTAAATTGATTTATCAGTTTTAAAGAGATACATTTGGGCAAGTTGGATGTGGGTCAGGATAAGCAGATGAATATATTTTAATAGTTGTCTAGTGTGTCCAGTGCCATTTTAATAGCCTGCTTTCAGTAGTCTATTGCTTGTCCGTAACCCAAATCTTACGTGCGTATAGGAAGGAGGAAGGAAACAATTCTGTGTGCATACCAGGAATATGTTCTGTTCTGAACAGAGAAGGTTTCACAGTCAAGGAACATCTATATATGCGTTTGTATATACAATGGTACCTCAGTTTACGAATTTAATGCATTCTCTGGGACGTTCATATTGCGAAAAATTTGCAAACTGAAATGCGGTTTTCCATAGGAATACGTACACAGGGTGGTGCTATAAACTTCCCAGGTGCAAGGCATCCTGGGGAAACTTGCTTAGTATTGTGAAACAAATTCATAAACTGAGGCATTATTTTCAATGGATTTTCATTCATAAACCGAAAATTACATTAACAGAGGCCTTCGTAAGTCAATGTACCACTGTATAGGAACAGTGAAAGTGTGAAGCAAAGTGAATGTTGGCACTCACTTATGGAGAACTAGATGTACACTCATGTGCACTAGTTAACTTTGTCTGGAATTTTCAACATGTAACTATCAGCATGCATAACATATGAACATTCACTGTGACATTCATACAATTGCAGATAAACCATGTGCTGTGGACCTTATTGTGCTATTTTTGTTATATTGTGTGAGGTTTCCTGCTTTTTCAAAGCAGCTTTTACCTATCTGGTGTTTTTATTCTTATTGTACATACAGTAGAGTTTGTGGTCTTCCAGATGTTGAAATTCAGTAGCCCTCTTCCCTAGCCAGCCTTGCCTGTAGTGAGATATGATGGGAATAGCCATTCCTCAATATATGGATGTTTGAAATAGAAAGGTTAAGGGGTTTTAATTTTTTTAATAGATACATTCCATAAGTGTTAATACACTTGACATGTGATTTCATATGTTATACATACTATAAAGTTGATTTGATGGATGGCTTGTCTGGTTACTGATGCAGATCGTTTATACAAACAGGACCCCATTCAAAAAGATTCTTGTTCCAGCAGTTCTTTTCACACTGAATTCACTGCATCTTCACTTACTGGATAATCTTCTAGGTCTATTCACTTAAACAGTAGTAATCAACAATTACACTTTCTGTAAGAGTTATTCTGAAAAATGTATTTCCCATTACAAAATTTATTATTCACAAAGTATATGAAATCATAAGTAGCTCCTGACCAAAAATTGGGGGACAAGTCATCCCTATTCAGTCCACAAATTGCTCATTTTCTTTTCTTTCATAGGGAAGGTATGTCTCTCCGTTATGAACATTGTTATATTCCATGTATTGGAGACAGAAATCTGCTTTGTTAATGTTTGCATGAACAAAAGTATCTCTCTCGGATGATGATGACTGTAATTGTAGTCTAAATATAAGCCAGTACATTATGTTTCAAGCTCAATTGCTTCTTCTCCATAGTTTTCCCCAACATTGCACTGGGAGTGTTAACACTGCACAAAATGAGGTACTGAAATTGTCTTAAGTTTCCACTGTGAATCTGGTAAACAGTGCCGGCATCCTTGGGCAATCCTCTAGGACCTAGAAGTCTGATAAGGATCACCATTGGCATTTGCACTCCTCCCCCTTTTATTGTTTTTTGGACTAACCATATGAGTACTACACAACGTAGTCCAAAGTCCGAGTCCTGAGTCAGGAGTTCAGGAAACACGGTTCAGGGTTGTAGGAGCGTGGATGCCAGCCAGAGGTTTTGACTAGTTGCTTCCATGAAATTCTAGCTGACTAGGAGCTGTTTTTATAGTAAAACAGCCCCTTGAGCTGCTGGAAACCTTTCCATCCTGTTGGTACTCAGGGCTAGTTGAACGTATGTTTCTGTGGACAGCCTTCGAGCGATCCTCTGACCTTTTTGCCATAAGTCTTCCCCGAAGCCTGACCAAAGCTTGTCTGCTGGGGAGGGAGAATCTGGAGGCGATTCAGGTGTTTCTGATTGCTCAGTATTCTCCTCAGCCTCAGTTAACCCTTCTGGTTCCAGGTCTTCAGCTGCACTCATGACATGTAGTGAGAAACAAAAATGGCAAACCTCCGGGAACCCCTGGAGGGCTTCCTGGCAGCCATCACTGCTGCAAGGAAGCCTCCCAGGGCCACCAATAAGAAGGGTAGCACTATAGTGTATTTTGCCTAGGGTCCTCATACATGGAATCAACCCTCTTAGTAACCAATGAAAAGAGAATGTTGGAGCCAATAGAAAGAAGATTGAAACACTCAGATGATTCTGCTACTCCTCATAATGTGGAACTGCAGTAGTAAAAGCTGTAGAGGAAAACTGGAAATTTCACTATTAAAGTAGTGCTTGAAACACAGGCACTTTAAAGTTTATTAAACTTCAGTAACTGAGCATTACCTAATATTGCTATTTAATAGAATGTGTGACATCATTTCCTGTATTCACCCTTTAAAAAATACATAGTTTCTAGGTAAGTCTTTTCAAACATTAAACCAGAGCCCATTAAAAACATTTGCTTGCTGTAAAATTTGATTTTTTTAAAAAAAGAGAGCAAACCCTTTCCCCTGGAAAAGTTCTGGTTCTTCAAATCAACTGCTTAAGTATTAGTATGACTTTTTCTGTAAGGATCCATGGCCATTCATCTTTCTAATAATACAAGAAAGGTTAAGGAATAATCTCATTTTCTAAGTCGACATTAAGCAGGATATTAAAATACCCATACTTTGTTGCATCATCCATCTTTTGAACAATGGAATATGTCCTAATTTGCTTTTCACACAGCTACATTATTCAGTGCATCACTAATGGTAGTCTTACTCTCAGCTTAAGCTAGTGATGTCATTATAAGACATCATTTACTAGGTTCTGTGTTTTAATTATGAAGTAAAGCCTGTTGTGTTGACATTGAGGTAGTTTCACTGATGTGTTTCAGTGCAATCAAATATATGTCTACTCAAAATTAAGCTTCATTGAATTCAGTGAGATTTATTTATAGGTAGCCTAAAATGGTTAATGTAGTACACACTGCGTGTTTCGTCTTTGATAATTGTATTTTTGTGATTCTTTCATATTTTCAAAAGGTAAGACAGTATTTTAAGAGTAAAAACTTCACCTACCTTTTGTAGAAGATATTCCCTCCCCCTCTTTTTCAAAAAGCCAGTGTTTTACCAAACAAAACCTTTTCTATGCAACTTATTCTAAACATTAGCAGAAATCCTGTTCGGTATTGCAGTGAATTGCATTTGAGTAGCCCCACTGAATCAATGGGGATTTAATGAGTCAAGTCCTCTGTAAATTCCATTGATTCAAATGGGACTGCTGCAACTATGCTGAAGCAAACCACAGTTACAGTAGGCCCACTTGAATCAATGAAATGTATGGAAGAGGTTGACTTACCAAATCCCCATTGAGTCAATGGGCCTATTCTGATGCAATTTACTACACTAAGCAACCATTGAAAATTCCCTCGTAAGTTATAATGCTAAAAAAGTTTTGATTTAAAAGCATTTTAAATCTCTGAAATACAACTTGGTTTACAGCAGGTGTATGTGCAGACAAACACACAAATACATATATTTTGGGTCGGTAAGTCTGTGGCTTATGTATACACACACATCAAAAGCATTACTTTTTTCTCACACTGTAATAAAACAATCCTACTTTAGGTGCTTATCTATTATAGCTATAGCCCATCATTCTTCCATATACAGGTTATGAAGAATTCTCATAAAAATTATTTGTTCTCAGTGAGACAGACTGTAAAAAAATTGTAATCACATAAGGGTCAATGATATAAGAAGAAATGTTATATTTCTTACCTCAAGTACAAGAATAAGACAAAGTATGTGGGGTTTTTTTGGGGGGGGTCAAGGGTTCTGCAACCTTCATAAGAAATCTGTGCAGAACTAGTGTCTTTTCCTTTTACATACACATGTGCATGCATTTACAACAAGCACAGACAGGGTGGTACATCAAAAAGACACATACAAACCATTCAGTACTCCTGATTTTTCATTTCATGCAACAAGGCAATGACAATGATAATTTTGTGCAATAATGCAAATTACTAAAATTGCATCAAAATAATTCTGATAAATGAAGAAATTGGGTCAATACCGAAAAAAATCTCAGTACAATATCTCACAATATGAGGAGAAAAATGTGCTGGCTTCTAATTCTTTCACATGAG